CACATTATGAGAAAAGCTTTGGATGAATGGAAAGGCGGCATTACACTAGGCGGACACAAGATTACGAACTTGAGGTATGCAGATGACGCTACCTTAGTTGCGTCAAGTGAAGTGGAGATGGCTATTCTTCTGAAGAAAATTGAAGAAGAAAGTGCCAAGCTCGGTCTTAAGATCAACCGTAACCAAAATAATGGTGGTAGATAGAGCAAATATACTCCCAATCAGCGACGCACTCGATGACTATCAAAAAGTCACTGAATTTGTGTACCTTGGGTCCTTAATTACATGTAAAGGCAGCTATACGGAAGAAATCCGCCGTAGATCCGGTATGGCTAAGAGTGCTATGGCTAACCTCGAAAAAATATGGAGAAGTAGAAGTGTTCGTTGGGCGACTAAGGTGCGTTTGGTTCTAGCCTTAGTTTTCTCGATATTTTTGTACGGCGCCGAAGCATGGTGCGTGAAAAGTCGCGACAGCAGCAGAATCGATGCTTTTGAGATGTGGTGTTGGCGGAGAATGCTGTGGATACCATGGACTGCCATGAGAACAAACTATTCCATCCTTAAAGAACTGAACATCAATAAACGACTGTCAAGAACGTGCCCTCAGCTTCTTCGGTCACATTATGCGTTCTTCGCGACATGATCTGGAAAGGCTCATTATTTTGGGTCAAATAGATGGCAAACGTGCTCGTGGCAGGGCGCCTACAAGATGGTCTGATGCTGTAAAGGGGGCAGTGGGCGGTAGCATGTATCGGGCTGTCCATGAGTCATATGATCGCACTGGTTGGCGATATATTGTTCGTAGTTACGATCCTCAGCATTGAGGGAACGAGGCAGAAGAACACAAAATCTGCTAAAAGTGTACCGTGTAATTTATCAAAAGAAAAACAACATTTAGAATGAAATAAAGTTTTGATTAAATTTGCTTTTTTAATTATTAGCCAAGAAAATTTAAATAATATGAAACATTGAAATCAACCCACTCACTAAAAATATTAAAACCGTAAAATCTCTCTCTATTATTCATTTGAATTTTTGTCGATTATTACTATGGGCTTTTGCCTGAAATAAAGAATTATTATTATTATAATTTAATATTTATTTGTTTTCTCATCTGGTTGGGTTTATGGATAAACATATAGATATATATTGCATATATAAAATAAATGTTATGAATAAAAATAAACATATAGATATAAATATTGTATATAATACATATATAAATAGGACCCAACCAGACGGAAGCCCTCGGCAGGCGAGACCAAACGGCCGAGGGTTAGGGTGAAAGGGAGAGAAACCGGCGGACGATACGGGCGGTATCGGAAGCACCGCTTTCTGCATTAGAGCTTGGAGGCCGACTGGGATCAACCCATTCGCGGACACGACTATCGGGATAATTTCGGCCAGCACACCACCCCACATGTCGGTCACCTCGTGAGCCAGGTCCAGATACTTCGTCTTCTTATCTGTTTCGGCTTTCACGAGGTTCTCGTCATATGGAATGGTAATGTCGACTAAAAATACCCACGACAGTGCCCGGTCCATCAACACGATATCAGGTTTATTCGCGGCAATTGTCCTGTCCGTGATGATGGACCGGTCCCAATAGAGCCTGGCGCGGTCATTTTCGAGCACGGCCTCCGGATATTATTATTATTATTACTTTTAAAATACGATTATTCTAAAATAAAAGCTTGTAATTGAAACAGTTCTCAAATTCAAATGTTTACTACGAATTTTTAACGCATCGTAACTAGAAAGACAACGTAGTAAATTCATCCATTCATTTCATTTATTCATTCATCCCACTTGCAAATTACAAATTTCATTCCTTACGATATTCAAATAAGGACGAGAATAAATTGCGTGGAAATAAACTGTTAGATATTGGTGATTCCTTTGGAGTTGTCGTCTACGAGGAGTAGTGCTGCCACTTAATAAATATTAAGTTGACTGGCTGAGATTCGTTCTACACAGTACATGATGAAATATTTTTAATTGTGTAATGTATAATAATAGTACGGTGATATATGACACGGTAATACGTTATTACCATTGGTTGACATACCTGAACAGAAACTAAACAATTTGCTATAAGATGAATAAATAAAAAAAAAATAAGTAAAGATAAGGACACAAATAATTACAAGGATGTGAAATGGGAATGTTATAGCTTTATATTATTAATACAGAGGAATTTATGTAGTGCTTTGACAACATGGGGGTCATTAAGTGTTAAAAGGAATGGGATATTAAAAGATCTTGGGAAGTTTGAAGGAAGGATACTAGAGATGGGTCGTATCGCTTTTTCTCTTTTTCTGAGTACCGTATCTCGAAACTATGTATTTTAATATCTAGATATTTTACGGTCCCGTATCCACCTTGAATTTAAAAAAAAAAAAATAAAGAGTATTTAAAAGTTGATTCATTCTATGTACATAATTTTCCTGTTATTTAAAACTTAACTTATTTACAATGATGTGTGGGTTAATAATTATTTAGATTCCTCCGGGTTTAAATTCACGTTTACGAACGTAAGCTGTTTGACTTTAATCGTCGAAAGTCTTGTTCGACGATCATTGTACTTCTAGATAACTAAAGCTTTTACCAGTGATACCAACTGTTCAAAAAGAATATGTACTTCTAAATAAATTCGAAAACCCACTAAAATTGACTAAATTCAAAAAACTTACTGAATTTAAAATCACGATTTTTTTATACTATTAAGGTAAAATTAAAACATTACCTGATAAAATTAAAAATTTCATTAAAAATAGAAATTGAAGTAATATAAAAATGATTTATTTTAACATCTTATATATCGCTTAATAATTGACTTTAACATATTTTTAAAACACGCAATCATGAGTGACAATATCTTTATAATTTGTGTAAGAAATAATACATTCAGTATTATAACTCAGGGCGGAAGAATTTAAAATATACACACAAAGCACATAAGCCTTGGTCTGATTTCCACCCAAGCAGCACAACACTATTAAATTATATTTTTCTTTTTGTGTACTTTTATTTTTTTCCAAAAATATGAATAAAATTTAACTAATAAAAATATTCACAAAAAATTTACCTCCTAAAAAATTTCCATTTATATTTTTCTTCCTTAATTTAGGCAGAAAATTCTTAAGTAGTAAGTTGGCATCCCTTACTGTTACGTGCTTAGTACCAATGCAATCCAGCTCAAGACTAAACAAAATTTAAAGACATCGTTAATACCGTAATTCGTATTTAAATGCAACAGAGATTTTTTTCCATGCTGTTAAGATTCAAAATTACTTAACTGCGCGCTTTGTCGTCCGTTACGGCTCAAGGCTAAACAAAACAATAGAAATATAATAATATCGTTGTAGTAATCTTTGATACCATGATTAGTATTTAATTAAAACGGATCTTATTTACATAGGATTAAGATTCAAAATTACTTAACTTATTCATATATCTGTTTAAAAATCTGATATTGTGCCTTGCTTGCCGTACTGCTCTAACTAGTGTAATATTTGTATCTCACGCGCTTTGTCGCTCAAAATCTGTTTAAAAATCTGATATCGTGCATTGCTTGCCGTCCCGCTCTAACTAGTGAGTATTTATATCTCACGCGCTTTGTCGTTCGATATCTGATACCGTGAATTGCTTGCCGTCTCGCTCTAACTAGTGAGTATTTATATCTCACGCGCTTTGTCGCTCGATATCTGATATCGTGCATTGCTTGCCGTCCCGCTCTAACTAGTGAGTATTTGTATCTCACGCGCTTTGTCTCTCGAAATCTGTTTAAAAATCAGATATTGTGGCTAACGCGTATGATATCGCGATTCGTGTCGGTATAGCGAGTGAGCACGGTACATCAGATTTCGGAAATATCAGATATTGTAAAATACATAGATATTGAACGATCCAGTAAGCGATATTCGGATATTGTACTAATATCTAGTTTTCATATCTGATACGATTTGTATCGCCCACTTCTAGAAGGCTAATGTCTTTGGGCTATAAAGGCAATGACAGATGTGTGTATCACCTGCATTAACCAGGGATGCCAACTTATGAACTTTCTTCCTAAACTTAGAAATAAAAAATGTGGAATGGAAGTTTTTTTACATTTTTAGGAGTTTTATTCGAAAAAACTACACAAAACTAACACTAAATGTAAGTGAAGTACTACAACGCATTAGTTAAAGTTCCACCCAAATTGGTTAACCCGTTTCTGAGATTAGCGCGCACAAAATCACAGATACACAGTCAACAATTTCTACAACCATTGTTTTGGGTTCTATTGCATTGATAAAGGTGGACCTTAAATAATAGTTTTTCTCAAATGTCTTTCATGTACAGACAAAGACAAGTTACATTTTTATTATATGTATAGATATCTGTCTGAATTATTCGCTTTCACCCTATTCCACGCGGATGTAGTCGCGGGCAACAGCTAGTATAAAAAAAATTTCGAATTGCTCTATGAGTATTATTTTTGAACAGTTGGTAGCACTGGCATCAATCCAAAGAGTACTTTTATTTATCTGAAATGTATCTGAATAAATAAATATATCTGAATAACTTTTATGCATCAATCTGTAAACCTATTGATGACATTCTCTTTGCAGTCTGTGAGTATGACAAAGTGACAAGCTAGTGACGGAATGAACTGTATCCTATTTGACTGGTAATGTTATAGTCCTAGATAAGACATAAAATTATTTATTATACTGAAAACTGGTTAAAGTACTAAGGAAGTTGAGGCAGGCAGTCAGAATTCAGAATCAGTGTTGTCAGTCATGCTTAGTTTCCCATGTAGAGTGATCGGTGACATTGCTAGCAAGTCAATAGTGAAAGTACGATCGTCAAATGTTTAATTACAATTATTTCTCCTGTAATTTACATGTTTTAAGAGCTAGCAGCGAATCGGTATAATTTTACCTTTACCATACTTTTAGTATCCTCATTTTCCAGTTAATCATAAAGAAATTAAAGTTAGAGGATTGAGTAAAATGTCGAAATTATTGCCATTATTTATTGAAGGAGAAGTAGTAAAAGGATTTGGAAGAGGTTCTAAGGAGTTGGGCTGTCCAACAGGTAACTTAAGATTTAACACTCCTTAACATTAAACAATAAAATCATCACTACCTATCATGTTTTAGTTCAAGTTTTTTCGTTTAGTTCAAGTCCTAATCAATTTGTTACATGATTTATCCTGCAAAATTGTTAAATTCTGAATGATGATTTCTGTTGCATTAATTGTGCAACACAAATCATTTATGGCCAGAATTTGCTGGTAACCAGGATGTATATTGCTCTGATATAATAGTGTAAAATATATGAAACAACTATACTTACTCAGGTTTTTTTTTCTATTTTAAAAAGCTGTAGCCATATTAAAGTTTGAAAAAAAATACAGTAACACAAAATAAACATTACTTTTACTAAGTAATATGTTATTTTATACTTTAATCTAAATTCTTGTATATATATATTTTACAGCATTCATTTATAAAGGTCACAAAGCATATAAATGGGTTGAATGAATTTAAAAGAGACAAAACATACTGTTAGAAGGAGAGGCTTGTAATGCGGCGCTGTGGCAACGAATGAAAAAGTCTCTGAATGCATGAATCAGTCAGATGTAGTTGTATAGGATATTACAAATTTTATTTCTTTTTTACTTAATTCGTTTGTTTGAAAAATATACACTGTATATATATACATATACGGAATCTCGGAAACGGCTCCAGCGATTTTCATGAAATTTGGTATGTGCGTAGATTCGGGGGCAAAAAATCAACCAATCTAGGTTTCATTTTTAGAAAATGTCCTTTTTATCCCGGTTTCCAGGGACTGAAAATATCATTAGAATATGATGGTAAATTTTGCCAAAACAAAAAATGTTATAATAGCTCTGTCGGTAATCAGGCGGCCGCGAAACAGAAGGCCGAAGTTCGTGCACGATCTTTTACACACTTATTTTTTTTACTTTATTTTATATACCATTGATTTCTTCATTTTTTATTTTTATATTAATTAAAACACGATTTACCAAAAAAAAAACAAGCAAAGCTCGGTCCTCCAGGTGCTATTCATTATACCTTAGACAAATTTTGAAACAATATAAACAACCTTTTTTAAAAATTTTTCCATGGAATAGACATTCTTTTTCATAAATTAATATCTTCCCTTTCATTATAAGGGGTGACTATTACATAAAAAAAAATGTATTCATATGTGAATAGTTGAGACTAGCCAGCTTTGTGTCATATCTATATTATATTTTTTGTAATCAACGAAATTGTAATAGTTTGCTTTGTAATTTTTAAATATTTAAATGAGATTTAAAGCTTGACCTCCATGTACGATTAGAAACGAGTACATCGTAATATCTTATAGTACTTGTAGCATTTACAAGTTTAACTAGACAGAGATAACATTTATTCAAAGCTACTTATCTCTTGCATGATGTAAATAAACCACCTGCCTTGTGTTAATTGTTTTCTAATATAATAGTTGAGTAGGTGTGACCTACTTCTGCTGAAACAAGCTCTCAACTATGAGAACATAGACAAATTTCTCGTATTTTAGGAGATTCATGTGTTATTTACAATCTTTAATCTAATAAACAGTAGGGAATGTTGGGGTCACTTTTAACTTTCATTTAACAAATTTTAAGATTAGATTTGTGAATTAAATTGAATTAGATGATATTTGTAATGAGGTTTAATTGTGAAAAATACATAGTCTAAAACAGTTCCTGTAGGCCCTTTTAAATTTATCTTGTTTGAAGCATCAATAAACATTAAAATATTATGTATCTTCAAAAGAATTTTTGTGTCAAAACTTTAAGCAATTTGAAGTCTTGAGTCAACATTAGTTTGGTATCCCTGCATGTTTTTATATAGGTTAATATTTTCATTTGTTAAATTATTTAGTTATGGATAAAGTTGTTTTTTTTTTTTTTTTTTTTTAATTAATAAGGAGTGTGAGATCAATTAAACAGTAACAAAAATAAAGTTAACTTCAATCTTAATGGTTTCAACCCTAGATCCTCCAAGAAAAGGTCTTCTGTACAGAGGAGGCCTTTGCCCACCAGTGGGACATGTATACTCGCAGGCTGCTACTTTCCATTTTTAACTTTTATGAAAAAATAGAAAGTGTGCATATAGAATATTATTACACCTTAAAATCCATCAAATGAAGGTAATTATGTAACTGAAGTCAGAAACATACAGTTGCAACCAGAAATAACATAAGAATGAAATCATACACATCTATTAAAGAGTATCAGGAAGGAAGACATAATTATAAGCAGCAATGAATCGTGACAAAGGCCAGTTGTTGTTTGTTCATTTAGTAGTACACATAAAAAGTGGATAACACAATCGCATGTGGCTGAAGATAATTTCCGTCAAAAATGTAAGTATTTATTATTATGGATTTCACAACAAATGTACAAGGATCTATATTGTACAGATTGTACTTGACATAGGCATTAATAAATCAAGTTCTGAATGCCAACACTGAGTTCTGCTGCTTCTGCGATCGGTGTAGAATTATGTTGTGAACAAATTGACAGCACTGATGATATTCTGTCGTATGTGCAGGTGTTTAAATGATAACGCTTGAGCAATGCATCTACGATCAAATTTCTAATGCGATTTGCCAGGGACGTTACCGCATCTAGCGTGTATTTGAATTTATAATTGAAAAGCTAATAAAAACCAACCAAGTTTAAAAATATGACATTACATTTAAACGCTTTTTAGGGTTAGGTTTGACCTATAGGGCAAGGCCTATAGGTCAAACGGGACCCTATTACTAAGGCTCCATTATCCGTTTGTCTGTCTGTCCGTCTATTACCAGGCTGTATTTCATGAACCGTGATAGCTAGACTGTTGAAATTTTCACAGTTGATGTATTTCTGTTGCTACTATATCAACAACTAGTAAAAAAACAGATTGAAAAAAAATATTTAAGTGGGGCTCCCATACAACAGACATGATTTTTTTGCCTCTTTACCTTGCCTATGATAGACCCGTTCAGGGACGGCATTACGCTGGGCCCAGTATTTCCGCGATGGAAACTACATTAAGCCACCAATCTCCTTTACTGGGCAATTACGGGCTTCGGCCCAATCGCCCATGACCCCTGAAGCCCCGTTTCTGGTAGGCGAGCACCATGTCCGTTAGGAAGGCCATGACGCGTCGGTGGCCCCGTCTCTGAGTGGGATCTATTCTCTCTCGATCCCGCTCAGCAGCCTCTTTCTGGACCATCACAGTCTCACAGAAAGACGCTATGGCGCTCCACGCCGTTTCGCCTCTCATCATCGCCGACTCGACTGCGGGCAATTTTACGTTTCGCCCAATGTGGCCCATCAACACACTCCGCTCCGCATCCCAGGCAGGGCACACTTTTAAACATAGGTTAAAACCTACCAAAAAAGGAATAGGCGTATATAGCAGGGGGTCCGGGTGGGTCATGCCCACCCCAGTATCGTCTAGTGCCCACCCCAGTTACTGATTCGAAATTCATGGCTGGATACCTAAGAAACTTAAAAATATTATCTACAGCCGAGAAATCTATTTACGTACTTAGTTTTTAATAAAAAAAATATTAACGGCGACAAACTGTTAATTTTTTAATGCGACGCATAGTCTTCGATTTTTTTTGTATTGTGGGCCCAGGCCCGCCCTGAAAAATAATTCTAGATACGTCAATGCTAAAAGGTATCCATATTTAAAAGTAAAGCACTCATTTGTAAGTTAGAGAAGGCTTAGTAATAAGACTGAACAAAGCTCGTTAATATTTTATAATTAAAGTTTTTAAGTAATTTTCAAGTGATTTAAAAAAGGAGGATGTTCTCAATTCGACTGTTTTTTTTAATGTTTGTTACCCCAGAACTTTAGTTGAGTGTTATTATTTATTTAAAAGCTGGTGCATCCCACGTGGTCCCATATTAATTTCATTGGTATTGGATCTTGGGCTCCGGGTATACTTAGAAACTCCTGAAAATCAATTATAAATGAACAGGTACAGTGCGAGATATTTGAAGTCGGTTTTGTTTTTTGTTAATAAAAAATGGACTTGTTATAAACTGTATTCAATCGAATATATAATTCTTTATAATATAATATCTTGTGCTAACAATTTTGCCCGCTAAATATAAAGACGTCGATTGACTTAAACTTTATAATAAATCGTTGGTGCTTTGCATTCATTCATATCTGTTGACTCTGCATGTGTAACAAACGAAGACGAAGCCACTAATTACCAATCCGAATTTTTAAACTCCTTGGATGTGCTTGGCTTACCAAGGGACAATTTACAACTGAAGGTCATTTTTAATAGGTTCGTTAGTCATCATACTTTGTAATCTAATTATAATAGGCAGGGCCGTGCCTGACGGGCGTTCATTGCGTGCACCGCACGCAGGCGGCCGAAATTAAGAGGCGGCCAAATCGTTACAAGTTGTTTACTGGGCAAAAATACAATCGGTTTGTTTTCATTAAGTTACGAAGTAAAAAACAGTTTCTCTAATCTAATCTATCTAAAAGAGTTTCTCAGAAATAAGAAATGTATAAAAACTGATTAGGTCGTTGTAGTATTTATATACCTAGTCATGCAGCGAATCCGAATTTTTTCGAACATTGCATGAGCGACGAGCCGAAATAGTTTTTTCAATTGACCGGCGTCGCGTAAGCGGCCTTATTCGTCTTATTAGTCGTATTAGTCTATAGACTAGCGAGGATAAATCGTTATTTGTGTCCTGTGTGTGATCCGATATTATTAAATTCTTTAATTTAACGAATAAAAATAAATTGCTTAATTCCTGAAAACCTGTTGTGTGTTCGTGTGGTGAAATTTAATAAAAAGTTTATTTATCGTTCTCGATTTCGAAAGTTTTCTCGATTTAAAAAGTTTTTTTATCGTTCTCGATTTCGGTTAATCAAAAAACTGATTTTTTTCCCGGTTTGATGCCCTGTGTAAAATAATAAACATTAAAAATTAAAGTAGTTTTTTTTTAATGTTATCCTGGGGGCGGCCATACAGACTGGCACGCAGGCGGCCATATACCCAGGCACGGCCCTGATAATAGGTATTATATTTACATTATTCAATCATGTCTTGCTGACATGCGATTGAACTACGAGATTTTTGTATCTCTATTGAATTTTTATTCTATTTCTGTAAAATCATAATATTACTTAAGTTAATATTTCTTTTGTATTTCTAGTATTAAGTACATGTAAGCCATTTTATGATTTGAACTTAATTAAAAGTTCAAATCATAAAAAATCGAAAGAAAAACATCTTTGTACCGTTTTTTTCATCTAATATATAAAATTCTCGTGTCACGGTGTTTGTAATTAAATTCCTCCGAAACGGCTCGACCGATTTTCGTGAAATTTTGTGTGCGATATGCCAGGGTGGAGAATCAAACAACATCTATTTTTCATCCCCCTAAATGTTAAGAGTGGTCCACCCCAAACATTTTTTTCTACCCTACAAATAATTTATATATATGGCAAAACAACGTTTGCCGGTTCAGCTAGTATTCATTTGAATTCAAATGTTTTCATAGAGCGCCAAAATAATTTACACTACATACTTCATTACCCTACACTACATAATAAATCTTAACTTGTACGAACGACTTATTCTAAGATTCTCAGATTATTTCCATTATGTAGGTACATGTTAACATTCTCCTCCACTTTGACTTATCTAATCATAATTAATTATTGCTGCTATAATAGAATTCTGCCACACTATCTCTACGTCTAAAACCAACAGACGTTTTTTAACTGATCAATAAATTTTATATTTTTGCAGCCAACTTTTCACTTGAGGTGGTGCAATCGCTACCCAAAGGCCTAGAGCCAGGAGTATATTATGGGTGGGCTCAAGTGGATTTCCAGACAGTCCACAAAATGGTGGCAAACGTCGGTTGGTGTCCCTTCTACCAAAACAAAGAAATGTCCGTTGTAAGTTAATGTTTACAATTTAGTAATTACTATTTATATTAATTTATTTTTGAAAATATACTTCTTTTGGTGCGTTTAATAAAAATATGAGAAAAAAAATTTTTACCATGCGCGCGCACACCGACCGTAAAAAAGCTACATGTTCAAGTTGGTTACAAAACGACCAACTTCACGGTATTATGGCAACGGTATAATTTCTTTACATTTACCAAGTTATTCTATACCGTTGTCAATTGCATTCAATGTCTTTTTCATAAACAAAGGGTACTGGCAATTAAAATTTTTAATTATTTTTCTTTTGTTACGTTAAAGTAGTATAACTTCTTATGTGCGTACAAATTATACGCATGTTTTTGTTTTACAACATTATAAATACTTAGTTGAAATAAAAATAATTACATATCTATGATAGAATAGAAGAAAAGAAAAGGTCTATGAAGTCAGCAATAAAAGTAACACGTATACAAATAACTAACTTGCTTTTCATCATTTAATTAGTTGCATGTTATATTGTAATGCATGTTGTACCTCATTTATCGGAGCCTTTTAAGATTGTCTGTAGTGTCAGTTGCAATGTTAAGGCAAGTTCCACTTGCGTAGGTAATAGGTCAACAGTTTATTAACCTTCAATTAAAATATTATCAGTTGCGTCGTAACATTTTACAAACGTAAAGATTGTACTTATGACCGAATTATATCTGGTATAGTTTATTTGTTGATATCAATTTATTATTTAGGTCTTGTGACGACATATATTCGCTTCCCGTGCATAAAAAACTAATAGTTATACGGCCTAAAATAGTAAATGGCGCATAACTGTTGTTTAAACACAAAAGATCGTCGCCTCTTTGGGCGTTGGTTCGATTCCTGTAAGCTCCTGGTATTAAAAAATCTAAGTAGAATGTGGTAATCTAACTAGAGATATTGATAATGATTAACTAGGAAGAAAATGTGATAACAATTTTTTAATGTGATTTCCAGGTTTTGCCTCCTAAGGCTCGTAAGACATATATTGATCTGTTAAATTGTACAGTCAACGCCGAATTGCGTGTTTACTACCAACAATAACTGCTCTACCACTTATTATCGATTAACCTGAAATTTTAAATTATTATAGTGTTATTCTCTGCGGTAATTGAATCTACGTCATTCGTTATCGCGCCAAGACAACTTTTCGTCCATTTTTTCCATAAATTATGGTTCATCTTAAATGCAGAGATTAGCAATATAAACATTTTAAATTTACGGTTAACTCATGGTATGTTTTGAATTTCAAATAGCGATGGTGACGTGTCTCGTTGTAAAACCACATTTGAAATTGAAGTGTGCCGTAAAGGCCATAAAAATAGATGAGCCAAGCATTGCTTTAGTGTAAAAAAAAAAATTGATAAAATACGTCGAGATTTTCGTCGGTGGCAATCAGACGATAAGCTTGTTGGTTAAATCGTCTTAAAGCTAATCCGGAAGACCTGGGTTCGATTCCCGCAGCGGCGAATAACTATCTAATGTTGGATGGATTATGTATCAAAGTTTTAATTGATTTCAGAACCATATAATAATAAGTAAACTGCCCAAATGATACTCCCTTTGAATTAAGCAGTGTCCTAACACTTGTATCCAAATCCTTGTAATTTTTATTTCTAGTAGACTTGACTAACAAACATAATAACAAGTTAACCTTCTTGAATATAAGATTTTAAAGATTGTGTAATCTTAAAATTTCAAGGTGGACAAGTGATGGTTTGCCATGCGTTTTGCACGGCAACACAATGTTCTTACCTGATGGAAGGTATATACATTAAATTTGTGTTCTCTTTGTAGACTTGTGGCTTAAGAAAAGTATCTAAAATCATTTAAATTCAAGTTTCTCCATACATCATTTTAACTCAAGTTTTCTGTTTTGTTAACACACAAATAATTTTGCTGTACTGACAAATTTTTAAATTTGTTTTGCAGGAAGCCCATGTAATGCACAAATTTGACAATGACTTCTATGGTTCCCATTTGAAAATATGTGTCATTGGATACTTACGACCAGAGAAAAATTTTAGTTCATTAAATGACTTGATTGAAGCTATTAAAAATGACATAGAGACTGCTGACAAGAAACTAGAGGAAGAAGAATCAAGGCTTTTGAAGGGCCATAAGTTTTTTAACAAGAACAATAACAGTTGCGCTTAGTATTTTTTTTTCTTTGTTTTTATGTTAAGTGTTGATATTGTGACAATAATGGATCATAGCTGAAAGTAAATGAGCAATGTTGAATGAAATATATAAGTATTGTAAATATGTTATAAAGAATTTGTACTTATCACCTATTTTATGACCACATAATGTATAAATTACTAAATGTAATTTTTTTTTATGTATAAATAGATACAAATAATTTTACCAGTTATGTTGTATTGTGATATTTCTTAAAGCCAAATGAAATGAACTTATCAATAAAACTATAATATATATTTTCGTAATAGTCTGATTTTAGAATGTATAACATCAAAGTGTTTTTACAAGAGCTAACAACCACTCTTCATGAGGAAAATGAATCAAAGGTTCCTTTCGAAAAAGCCTTTATTTTTTACGCTTTAACGGATCCATTTTGATGAATTTGTAAAATATCACTCCTTCACAGAATTGGAAATAAAATGCAATCTTAAATTAGGGCTTCTCTCCAGGATTAAATTAATGTTGTTTTCTTCTAAATGAACAACCTGTAACAAGATAGAAAGAATAAGAGGAAGGTGAATTTGGATAAGAAAAGGGACTATTCATTTTAAATGAAGCAATAATACCTAAAATTATGGTTAATTATTACACAAATAATTTCAATTTACAGTTGTACAAATTTATACTAAGAAAATCTTTGAATGATCACACTGACATTACTTACACATACCAAGGCTATGAAATATAAATTAATTATCCATTTTGACAAATGTCAATTGTCACGATGCTCTGCTGTGATAATACAATCTCATTCACTTTGCTTAATCATGGCTTATTATATGGTACATGAGCTAGCAAAGGTATCATTTTCCGGGATCACTTTTTATTACATTTTATTAAAGAAATGGATTTCTTTATGTTAAAAATCTTGTAACTTTTTTAGGAACAGTTGGATATGATAGTATACAATTTTTCTAACTTATATTGCTAAAAGCTAGTAAATAGTTCTGTATAACAATTTTTAAGTGACTTCATTCTAGGCCAAAACACCAATACAAAATTGACAATTCCCCTTGTGCCTTTATAAAAGGGAATCTAAGTATGCATTAATAGAAGTCATAGAAATAGCATTTCTATATTCATCCAACATCTATTCTTCTGGTAAACACAATTAAAACAATGTTAATTTATTTAATTATTACTTGCCAAACAGGAAATTTACTAGGAATTTCCCAGTAAATTATGGTTCAATAAAGGTGCCACAAGGCATATGGCAATTTATTTCTGATAGAGTAACACAACTATGAATGCAAACTATTTGATGATGCTATGTGTTTTTTAGTTACAATCAGAGATATCAATTGGCACTACAAATGGATTTGGGCCATTGCTCAGTTGAACATGATAGATTAACTCTATTCAAATCAAATCACTTTAATGAAAACTATTTATGTGCTTATTAGCACATAAATAGTTATTAGCACAAAAAAATTAGTAGATTTTATCAACTATAACAATATAGATATTTGACAAATATGTGTAGTAATGCCTATCGATTGGGGTATTATTTAAAAAAAAAGTATTTAAGTCTATTCATTAAAAAATATAATGAAAAATTAAGTATTAAAATATATGTTATTAACATAACATGGTGCAATTCAAGATGGTGATAATTATTGACACCTTAATAGCCCCTTTGTTAAAAAATAAGGTCTAAAGTTAATAAATAAGGAAGTATATTATTCCAATAGGATACTATTAAACCTCAGATTAAGGTGTAGTCTTCTTGGTGAAACATTGAAACAAATCCCCTCGATTTAATGTATGTGTTGTTTTAGGAAGGCATTGTTTTCTTAATATTCTGTGGGATTCATAGTAAAATAATGAACAAAACTATGGAACACATTAAAGCACCTTGATAAAATATTCGTTTCTGTTGTAAGTAAATATCAAATTACACCACGCAATAGAAAAGTAAAACATTTTTATTTCCAAGTGCATCGGGTGTTAAATGATGGTTCAGAAAAATTATTAATAAACTAGTTGTAATCTTTTGATAATTGAAACTCAAAAAAATTATTTACCTTCGGTTAACCTAGCGCGACCACCAGTAGGCTGGCAAAGGATTGTTGAACAACCTGCGCACACCACTACCCTTTGCGCGTGACTGAAAACTGTTGTAATTTTGTAGCAGCCGGGGCATTTGACATCCATGAAGTATGAATTTGGATGTGGCACCAGCCTCTTTAGCTTGTGTTTCCTCCTCTCCGACGCGGGCGTCGGATGCAATAGATCAACAGCGAGCTGAAATTTTTTTGGGTCTAGGTTAGTTTGGCACAACTAGTTATTGGGGTTCATTATTCTTGATTCATCTATTGGAACACAACGTATTTTGATTTATTTTTAATTATAATGGAGGTTAGAGAACATTGTTGAATGTACAGTTGAGATGTCAAATCCTGCCATGTGTTTATCTCAATATATGCGCAGTTTAAGTTTTTGTCCGATATTCATTTAAAATAAATTAATAAACTTAATATCTTAATGTCACAATGTAGTTTTTATTTATTCTAATAATGTATCACTGATTGATAATATTTAATACAACACACCGGCATGGTTACAGCTTCGATGCAGAACCGGAAAAGGAAAGACGTATAATGTAACAAAGACAAGAGAAGTAGTTCCATAAATAATAACAGATAATACAAGAAACTGTTGGCGTTTCTTACTACGCAAGTGATAATTAAAATTAATTTTTATGATCAGTGAATGAAAAGATTTTGAAGAAAAATTTGGTATTAGAATGACGATGCTCATTAAATTATTCTTTAAGACCAGCCAAATGCGAGTCAGGCTCGCGTTCGAAGGTTTCCGTACCATTATTTATAAAAACGGCAACAAATCATGTCTGTTGTATGGGAGACCCACATAAATATTTTTTAATCCGTTTTTTTAGAATTTGTTGTTATGTGAAAATTTCAACTGTACAGCCTGTTGACAGACGGACAGACAGACAGACGGACATACAGACAGCGAACTTTTAGTAATAGGGTCCGTTTTACCCTTTGTGTACGGAACCCTGAAAAGGTACGAAAAGTCTTCGGGATTCGTGCCTAGACTAATGTTTAATCTTAAATGCAGAGATTAGCACTATAAAATATTTAAATTTCTTATAGCTATGGCACCATCTCTCGTTTGAATTACCGTTAAACAGGCATTTAGGACGAAATATATTTAACCCAATACTTATTGGGGAAAGTATTTGTAACGTATGTAGACATAAGGTTTATTGTACCGGCAGTCTCCAAATAAAGCGAGTAAAGAACGAACATGTGTTTTACTGCGCGAGGCACTTTATATCTCAAGCACTTACATATTTCTCACTATTTTTCTGACATTTCTTGAAACTGTAAGAAATTAACTGTACGAAAACTTATTAGAAAGTGATAAAACAAATGGGTCAAAGCTTAAATTTCAAAGATTGTTGTTTTTTGAGAATTCATTATTAGGGTAAATTTTGTGTTTCGCAAATAACAAATTGCTTCAAGACTATATAGTCTTGAAGCAATTGTCTAACTTTTAACTTCACTGATGATTCCGTGCCGCAGTTGCCAAAGCATTGGTTTACGCACCGAAGGAACCGTCTAATGAATGACTAAATAATAATACTTTGACATAGCTAAGACAAATACTGAATTCTTCTTATCCTTTAAACGAGCAATTCTTGTATATATATATAATCGGAATCTCGGAAACGGCTCCAGCGATTTTCATGAAATCTAGTATGTGCATAGATTCGGGGGTGAAAAATCGATCTAGCTAGGTTTCATTTTTAGAAAATGTCCTTTTATCCCTGTTTTCAGGGAATGAAAAATATAATTCGAATATGACGGTAAATTTCGCCGCAAGAGAAAATGTCAAAATAGCTCGGTCGGTAATGGGGCGGCCCCAAAACAGACGGCCGTGGTTCGCGTCACGATCATTTACACATTTATTTTTTTTACTTTTTTTTCGATTCCAGATCACTGCTTTCTTTATTTTTAATTTTTTGTCGATTTGTTATTTTGTTATTTTTTCCCTTTTTTTTTTAAAGTTCTTTCTTTTGTGAAAAACATCAGTTCATATTTTCTTATTATTTCGTCGGTAAGATCGAAAAATATTATGCATATTTCATTACTCAATAATTTGTATCTAAATTTAATATCCAAAATATACGATTTACCAAAAAAAAAAAACAAACCGAGCAAAGATCGGTCCTCCGGGTACTAATATTAATACGTGAAGCAAAAACTTTTTTACAAAAATTGCTCTCAGTTTGAAATTTCACACACTTATAGTTTATTTATAGAAGGAGTGCAGAATGCATAATATGCATAAGAAATATATTAAATTAATATAGAAAACACTACACACACTGTATTTATAATTAATTATGATCGGATTCCGACCAATGGGCGCAGGGTGACCCCTAATATATTTAATTTAATTATTTATTCCACTTGGCTTAAAGGTCTTATTACCAGGCCATAATATCTTTATAAAAAAACATGCCACTGTCAACTGTCAAGCTAGTGTCATCAACATCAATTGTCAATTATCATCATTCATCACAAGCTTGAAACGTGAAGCGGTGCATTTTAGATCATTCAAGATAGATCATTAGAGAATTTCAATATTGTTGAAAAAATATGGCTGATGAGGAATATGAGGCTGAGGACGCAGGGGCAGACTATGATGATATTGCCGAAGAAGATGATAATATTGAGGAGACTGAAGAACAGGAAGAAGATGGTTATAATGTTCAATGTCTTGCACCAGGCCAGGCAGGAGGTGGAGTCGAAAAATCAAAGCGTATTACTACCAGATATATGACTAAATATGAACGTGCCAGAGTTTTAGGTGATTTATACGACCTATTTACACAAATATTGATTTGTTTTACTGCGGATGGGGAAGAAAGGCTCTTGAGTGGCAGCCTTGTACTGGTTAGCGCAATGTAGGATGATCCCCACTAGATGGAGTGACAACCTGTGCAAATATGCGGGAATTTAATGAATGCAGGTGGCTCAGGATCATGCTTCATCGCAGTCTCTGGGGGAGGCTTATATTCAGCATTGGACTCAAATAGGCTGAAATGATGATGATGATGAATGATGTAATTGAGCAAAGTACTAGTAGTAAGGATGCAGTGTGTTAAAAACCCCAATTTTGTTGCATGTTCTTTTGTTTACAAAAATCTAAAGTTTACACCATTTTAAGCCATGCAGTCAAACTGGCATAAATTCAACTTCTAGTTTTGTCATTATAAATTCTTTAAATTGCCTTATATCTGGGTCATGGAAATCATAAAGAAATTAATTAAAAAGGAACTGGACTATTTATTTGAGTTTTAAATAGATACAATAATTAGACTCATAATTACATACCTTCTGACAAGTTTTTGCTTTTTTATATATATATATATATATATATATCTTTTTTATTTTATTTCTCGACTGCTTGCACATAACTTTATTGATAGTATTAAAATAACAATCTAAAGCTGGGTTATTCAGAAGATATCATCAATGTAATATTTTCGTTAGGGTTGGCACTTACGTAGGTCCATATATCTTTAACATGTTATCCAGGTTTTAAATGTTTTTTAAATATCTTCATCCCCATTAGAAATTATCAAATTTTCGTCATCATGTTCATTTAATGATATATCATCAACTATTAACATAATTGCTTCTTTTATATTTGCCAAGTTACTATTTTTGACTGTGCTAGAGAAAATAACATGCCTTTATTAGTTATAACTTGTTTATTTTTATTAATTTTAGGAACAAGGGCATTGCAAATAGCTATGTGCGCACCAGTAATGGTTGAACTGGAAGGAGAAACTGATCCTCTTCAAATAGCAATGAAAGAATTGAAACAAAGGAAGATTCCAATCATTATTCGAAGATATTTACCGGATCATTCCTATGAAGATTGGAGTATTGATGAACTCATTATAATAGATCATTAAGTTTAGAAATGAAAAATAAAATTTTTGTAGGTATTTTAAGTTACAAAGTTTAAATTCAAAATGACAAAGAAAGCCATGATTATTATTGGATTTATTATTGATTGGTTTACTATTATATTAAAAGATATAAACAGTTATACAGTTAGAACATTTAACATTTTCGCATTAACTAATCGGAATCGGACTTTTCATAGTTTCACACAAATGTCTACAATTTATGGCTTTCCGACTGGCATTGCCACAAAATATATAGTGATGTTCTAAAAATGAAATAAAATTGTGGTTTTCACCTTGACACAGTTAATATTTATTTAAATAATTTTAAGTATAATTTTGATAAAATTAAGTTCACATAAGCATACATTTGTTTTATTCAATTTTTTTAATTAAAAAAGATAAGCAGAGGTAACAGCCAATGGGTTTTGTTATATTATTATAACAATGCAAGTTTGTGTCTACATGGAGGTTAATTCAAATTGGAATGGTATGTTATGTATGCCCGAATCAGACACAAAATGTAAGCATGATTTGTTTATTTCACTTGTTCCAAAAATTTCTGCAGCACCATAAGCGTCTCTAAACATAACTTTGTAACCATTTCTATGTTTTAAGTTTAAGTTAAAAATAATAATTTGTGGGTTTTTAATGAGAACAAAGTTGCAAAAAAATGTGACAGTCACTACATCTAATCAAAGGAAATGACAGCAGTTCTCTTCCCTATGAAGGAATGAAATGTCCTGACCTACTTACTGGATCCACCTGTCGTGTAGGTACAATTCGATGATGCGCATCATCATCATGAAGGTAGGGCGACACCTGATTTTAATTCAAAGCCCATGTAATTGTTTCCCAGGGCAGTGGTTCCGGGTAAATGGACTGCTCTCGGACGCGAAGAATCATGTTCCCCGTCGACCGAAAATAAAAAACCAAATTGGCTATCCCATAAGGCGAGGCTTACATAACGTATGTACATTTTCAGTCGGTCGGCCATAATTGTTTCGAATAGTTTGCCCGCCTCATCCAGCAGACAAATGGGTCTGAACACACAGAGGGAAGTTCAGCGGTCCTAACATTCTTTTAGGAGCACCAACTTAGCCTCCCTGCAGCCTGCGAGGAAAAAACCGACGCTAAAGCAGCTGTTGAATATTTGCCATAAAAAAATAATAAAAGTCAGGGACTCTACACTTACCATGAATACTGGGCATTATTTTTTAATTTTTTATAGTGCTAATCTCTGCACTTAAGATTGAACATTAAAATATGTAGAAAAGGTACGAAAAGATTGTCGCCGCTGTGGGAATCGAAGCCACGTCTTCGGCATTCGCGGCCTGACGCTGAGGGTGGAGGTTAACCTCCTTATAATTAAATAAGAGTGTTTACGCCTTTGCATATAAATTAAGAATAAAAAATAACCGTTGCTGTGAGAGGGTACCAGTGAACAACTGACAATAATAATAATGATGAAATGTTGGCCATATTTTATTTTTGTCCAAGCTCAGGTTTAGTTAAGCATTTATTTACTGATGTACTGTTATTTATAATAAGTGTTATATATTGATAATTCAATATTTAATATGATTCAATGATTATTCAATATATTAAGTAGATTCTACAAAAGTTTAATATTTAATCATAAATACTTTAACTGAAACTCCAATTATTAAAGTAAGGTCTTTTTTTAAAATAACCGAATATTCTTCTTACGTATTTCAATGACCATGTCAAAGTGCATTGAATTGCTATTAGTGATGTGTCGTAATTTTAGAAATGGCAGCTTGAAATATGCAAGCGGGTGGTCGCGTCTCGCATGCCTAGCGCTTGCCAAGCAATGTTGTACATTGACTGTGGATATTAATCACCCTATTTGTTCCTATACAAACACCATATCGCAACATACAATTAAATCTCGTTTTTACCAAAATATGTTAAGTTACGCTTATGAGTCCATGACAAAATATTTGCGTTATTTTTTAGTTATATACGTGATATGAATTTACGAAAGCTTTATCAATAGACAATAATAAGCTTATGGTATTGTGATAGAAGACGAGAAAGTGAATAAATAATAATATATTCAGATTTACCGTTAATTTTTTTTGCGTGTTAGTGTAATTTGTTGTTAGCCTGGTAGCTTTAGCATCGTCATCAGAAGAGGTCCGTGGGCAGACGACCCGAGGACTTGGAAGAAAGAGCTTAGTTGACGATGACATGTTCATGCTGTCCGCCCCGTTACATCTCCGCGACCCCTGCTAATGGACAATCGATTTGCAAAAGGTCGAAACGATCCAAAAGCCCTTGAGATGAGGTTCGAACCACGGATGGTGAACACAAACCTATCCTAAGTCCAAAATTGCCCTTTAATCACGAGATGTAGGTTTACAATCAATTTATGAAAATACGCGGAAACATTTTTTCTTGTATTTACGCGATTATACATTATAAATGAAACTAATTTTACGGATTTATCGCGTTTATTTTTAATTTTAATTCCCGACGTTTCGAACCCTTTACAGCGTTCATGGTCACGGGGCAGTCTTTTCGCGATAAATCCGTAAAATTAGTTTCATTTATACCCAGAAACAATTAATTTTCAAAAATGTAATTAGTTACGTAACGAGCGAACGATCGTACATAGACTTGCTGTTGTCCCGTCGGTTTCAGTCTTATGCTGCTACTTTTTTTTTGTTTTTGTTATTATTATATATACCATGCAGTTACATTATTGTATGTTTGTATATTTTTATCGAAAACGTTGCCCTTACTTTAGGATAAAATTATCCTGTGTTGTAAGGAAGTTTTACAAACATACATTTCACACGGACAAAACCAAGATGCGAAACAACTATCTGTGGATCGCACAAATAGTTATCCCGTGTGGGAATCGAACTCACGACCCCCGACGCCGAAGCCAATACCTTGGCAAATGCGCCACGTAGACATCTCATTATTTTAGTCGGAGTCATTATTTTCTAAGTTTTGTATGTATCTATTGTGATTAGACCGTGAATAAACATTTCTTCTTCTTCTAAACATTATCACATCGCACGCGGGGGTATGTAGACTGCAAATCGGGGACCTCGCATTCGCCCCCATACGCTGAGCCATCTGAGTTTATTAATGTAAGTTCATTCGGGGCTGTGATAAAATATTTAGTATTGCATTTAATATATGTATGTTATGTGGATCTATATATATTTTTATTCAAACCCATAAGTGCTGCCGGACAAGAACTCAATTAAATAACACTAAAAGAACAACAAATAATGAGTGTTTTAACTTGCAATGCTGAGTCGATGGGTTCAGCACCTCAATATGGTACTAATAACCCAAAAAGTATCTCTGGCATTTTTCATAAACCCGTGTCTTTTAGCACATCGGTCAGTAGATATGTGAGAATCACAGCACGAAAAGAATTAGGCAGTAATTTTAATCTTCTTTACTGAATGATGTTTTGACTCTCAGTCCGTTGAATATTAAAGCTTCATCGAAAGCAGAACTTGTGGGACAGCCAGATCCCACGAGCTTACAGCGGTCAGGTAGACACTGACATAGGGTCGTGAATGTGCTCATGCCTGCGTTATTTACGGAGGGAAACGTTGCCAGCTAAAGGCCATCAGGTTTCGGGCGGTTATCGGTGGCTGGGGGCGGTGGAAAGAGCCCCGGAACACGGTTGCATTTTTTGTAGCTATTGTGTTAGTTTCGCCGTGCTCGTAACAGCTCGTCGTTTCGACGAACTGTTTGGTTTTGTATGTTAGCATCATTTGTGTGTTGTAGGGTGGGATCCCCGGTGGGTCCGGAATATTTTTGTCTCCTCCTCTACCTGCTGATGATGTACGAAGCTGGCGCGAGGCCTGCTTTAAACGAGTCTCGGGGGCCCGGTCCCCATTACTCGGGCATGTATCTCGACCAGCGAATGGCTGGTCGGTGGTGAGGATGGCCATCGGCCATCCCTATCCCTGACCGCGGTAGCGGCACTTGCGGGTGTACGGCGTTACACGCGGTGTGTAACGCGAGGACGACATCGTCTTCGACACAGCGGCGGAAGTGCGGTCGGGTCCGGCCCCCCAATGGCCTGTTCCGACCGCAGTAGCTCTCGTGGGAGCGGACGTCCGTCAGGAGGACGGGCGTGGAGTGGAGCAATATTCTCCAGGTGTGGGTGTGGTCCGTTGTCAGCCCTGTCGTACAAGCGACGGGCCAACCGGACCACAAACTCCTCGATGGACACGATCTTCAGGTCTCTGGCGATTACGTCGTTCCTGACGTAACGCCCGGCTCCCACGATTGCTCGAAGGGCGAGGTTCTGCTGCGCCTGGAGCCTGCGCCTCTGCGAGGCGGAAACCAGTGCATACCACGCCGGAGCGGCGTAGGTCAAGCGCGAACGGATGTAGGTTTTATAGACGCCCAGTTTCGTCTTAACAGGTAGCTTGGATGCCAGGATTGGGTAAAGGACCGCTCGAGCTGCCCTGGCTTGTCGAACAGAGTGTTCGACTTGGGGCGCCATACTCAGCGAGCGGTCTATCCGGCACCCAAGATACCTGATGGTGTCCTGGTTCGTTATCGCTTGACCTCGCAGCTCAAGCGTGGGTTGGTGTTTGATGTGGCGGATGAAGATGGCGGACGTTTTGTCAACATTGACAGACATCCGCCACCTATCCAACCACTCGGGCAGCAGGTCCAATTGGCGCTGCATCTTCCTCGCCGCAAACGCCGCGTTGTGTGAAGACGTGAAGAACGCACTGTCGTCCGCGTACAGGGCCAACAGTACGTCTTCATCCCAGTCGGAGGCGTTTTGCTCCAAGGTGGGAATGTCGTCCGTGTACACCGCATACAGGTGTGGCGACAGACAACTACCTTGTGGTACACCGGCTTTGATGCATCGTACCGCCGAGTCGGCTCCCTCGACGTGTACGACGAACTTCCGGTCCCGGAGAAACGACGCTACTAACCGCACGAGCGCACGGTGGGTGGTGGTATTTTCCAGCAGCTTATGTAGCAGGCCTTCGTGCCACACTCTGTCGAAGGCCTTCTCCATGTCGAGAAGGACCCCCAGACAGATGCGGCCCCGGTTGTACTGAGCCGCAAGATAGTGCAGCACTCGGGCCAGCTGCGCCGTGGTGGAATGGCCGCTGCGGAAACCGAACTGTTCCCTGCGTAGCTCGATGCAGGGAACTATTCTCCGCAGCAGCAACCGTTCAAAAAGTTTGGCTACGTGCGGCAGTAGCGTAATCGGTCGGTAGCTTCCCGGAAGTCGTCGGTCCTTGCCCGGTTTCGGCAGGACGATGATCTTACCGGTTTTCCACTCAGAGGGGAAGTGCGCCGTGCGCAGTACACCATTGTACAGGCGGCACAGCGCCACTAACCCCCTTTTCGGTAGTTGCCTTATCGCCAACGTCGTGATTCCGTCGGTGCCGGGTGCCTTGCGGAGCGCGAGATGACTCGCGGTTCTACGCACTTCGGCCGGAGTGATGAAAAGTCCACCATCCAGCCGTGGCACCGGCTCCGACAGGAACACCTGTATGTGCCGCTCCACTTCTTGGTGGAACGCAATGGCGCCTGGGGCCGATGTGTTGGCCACAAATTGCCCTTCTAGGTGCTCTGCCAATATGTCAGCCCTGTCTTGGGCTGCAGCGTGCTTACGCCCATCGCTACCCACGAGTGGACAGATGGGCTGTGATGTGCGGCTGAGCTGTCGGTTAAGGTGGTGAAGGGAGGTCTGCGACTCGGAGGCCTGCTCAATGCGGCGCTCCCACCCCTCACCCCTGTACGCCTTGATGGCTGCCGACAGCTCGTCCTTGAGCCGATTGAGTTTTGTCTTTACTCGTGGGCAGCGGGTGCGGGCCCACAGCTTTCTAAGCTCCCTCTTCTCGTGTAACCGATCGAGGAGCCTACGCGGGAGCGTGTCTTTTCGGTGCACCTGCGGCACCGCCTTGGTCGCCGCGCGCAATTCTTCCTGTATTTTACAGGTGATTTTGCGCGCGGCCTGTTCCACGTCTTCCGCGGTTGATATGGGTGCACCGAAGCTAAATGTGGACATTGCCCTCGAATAGGCTCCCCAATCGGTCCTATATTTAGGGCCCCTGGGAGCCAGTGAGTCCGCAGCCAGACTCAGCACGATGAGCACAGGGAGGTGCTGCGTGTCCGCATCGTACAGCACCTCTACCTGGACAGGGCATGGCACTTTGTGGCAGAGCACGATGTCCAGGACATCCGGAACGTGATCTTCGATGGTGGGTATGTGTGTGGGCTCATCAGGGCCCAGCACTTCATAACCCACCTCCCTCGGCATGTTCGTATAGACTCCTGCCTGCGGGGGTCTCAATTCTTGATCCCCACGATGGATGTTTGGCGTTGAGATCCCCCGCTATAATGGCAGGAGTGTTATCAGAAAAGATATTCCGGATGTCACTGGCGTTGAAGGGCAAGCCGGGCGGGCGATACGCAGCGAACATACGTATCTCTTTCCCGCCCGCGTGGAGGCATACTCCTATGGAGCGCGTGCTTGTAAAGCTACGCAGCTCCTCTTCGTCGTGTACTAGGTCCCGTCTTACCAACACGGCCGTACCTCTATAGGCATAGCCGTGGTCTGGGGAGATCTCATCCCTACGGTACACGACGAAGTTCGATAGGCGGAACGGCTGACCCGGACGAAGCTTGGTTTCCCCGAGCAACACAACTTGGATGTTGTGCTGCTGAACCAGCATCCTTAGCTCCGGGAGCCGTTGCTGTATGCCTCCAGGGTTCCAGTACATGGCCCTAATTTGTGGCGCCATTGCGTACCGCGGTCAGGGATTTAATGGCGTTGGTCAGCGCCGTTAAGGTGTCGTTACCCGTCGCAATGGAGACAAGGACATCCCCCAAGATGCCCGTCACCAGCCGGATTAGTTGATTAATTGCCTCCTCTATTCCCTGCGCGACGTACGTCGAGTCGCGGGAATGGGAGGCAATGACGTGGTGGGTGGGTGGACCCCTTACCCCTTGGCCTTGTTGGGCCGGTTGTTGGTGTGGGCGCGGTGCGACTATTGCCGCTGTGGCAACATTTTCCCGCTGTTTTTGCTGCTGTCTCTTTTTTGGTGCAGCGGTGGTGGTGGTTTGGGAAGCGACGGGGGGCTGTGGGGTCACCACAGCTTGGCCCGCTGTTTGCGGTTGGGGGGTGCTCTTCTTCTTCCTCTTCCCCCTCTTCCTCTACCTAATCGTCCCGGATTAGGACATTACGCGGTCGTCTTTACGGTAGCGTTGGGGCTCGGTTTTTAGTTAAGATGGTTCTCGGCTCTTTCGACGAACCGTTTGTCGATTTTTCTATGATAAGCACTGCCCTAGGTTTTAATTTTTAATTCCCGAACTGTCCCGTGACCATGAACGCTGGAAAGGCTTACAAACGTCGGGAATTAAAAATTAAAATTTAAACTCGAAAATAAATAAATAAAATAAAATAAAAAAAGCCTTTTATTTCTTCCAGAAAATATTAGTTTGAAAAGTTAGTTAGTTTTGTTAGTATCAAGAGAATTGGTAGTTTGCTATTAATTAGTAGTTACAGTATTATAAAAATATTTTTATATACGTTAATATTATAGTGTTGATAGTTAAATTTATTCTGTAAGAACCCCTCTGCAGGTAAAGGCCTCCTCCAAATGGAGCCAGTTTTCTCTGGATTGCGCTATTTGCATCTATTTTGGGCCCGGTGTGCGTTTAATTTCATCCTCCCATCTGTTGCAAGGTCCCCCTTTTTTCTTTTGCCCGCTGGCCCCTCTGGCCCATTCTGTCACCATTTTTGTCCACCTTTGATCACGCAGGCGTGCTGTGTCCGGCCCACTTCCATTTTAATGCAAGAGCTTATGCCATCTGTTGCTTTAGTAACGTTGCGTATTTTTGTATGACTTGTTTTGTTTTTTTTTATGTTTAGCATACTCCGCTCCATTCCTCGTTGGCACGTTATAATTTTATTTATAATATTTGTTAAACTTCCATGTCTGACAAGCATAGGTCAGCCATAGAATCGCATTGAACGCGACAAAATCTGTTAAATAGTTTCATTTAATATTTATAATATTCGCGTAAAATCAAGAAATCAATATGTTAATAGGCTTAGAATATAGCTACCTCTTCATACTCGTGTATCTAGTGAAATAAAAAAAACCTTCAGACAGACATAAAAATTGTAAAAATGGTTGTTTACTACAACTATAATAGCATATTTCAAATTAAAGGTTATATTTTAGAATTTAATGTGAAATTACCGACACACTAATTTTATTATTGGTTTCGATTGCAGTAAAGTTCAATGGACTCAGCTCGATTCTTACTTCAGTATATTCTAGAAACCTTAGTTTCTAATTCCAGTGCTCTAGTGATATAACAAAAGCAGAAACAGAAACAGATAAAATGTAAATGGAAAGAAAAAACGGATGGGGCAACGGAAGTGCACATGCTGAAAAAATAGTACTTTTATAAAATTAATATTTAATATTGAAATTAATTAGTAGTTATTAGTGGTATATTTTATGAAATCAATAAGTATCATAATAAATCAGATAACTCTGTCAGGCCGCGAAGGCTGCAGGGTTCGATTCCCGCAGCGGCGACAAACTTTTCATACTTTTTCTACAAACTTTAATGTTTAATCTTAAGTGCAGAGATTAGTACTATAAAAAAATTGATAACTCTGTGATTAGTACAGGTATAGTAAATTGCGGGTAAAGGACTTCGAATCTCTGGGGTTTGATGATTTTTGATATCTTTTAGCCTAGTAGGTAGTTGGTCTAGAAGCGATGGGTAAATTTCAAATACGATAGGTGCTTGCGAAAATACAATGTCATAGATTGCAGAGCCATACGAAAAAATGTACGAAATATACAGATTTATCGGAATACAACGTGCGATTTTCATTTCAATGAAAGGTCACGTCGATCTTCTTAATGGTGGAGTAAACGCTTTATAGCGTTTAGTGGACATCTGCGAGGCGAGTGTGCGTTGACGGTGGACGGCGCTGAGGCACTCGCCCCGCCCACTTGGCACACGCTGCGCGCTGAATATCGCCGAGAGCCCGCGGCCAGAGCTTCGCCATCGCGCCAGTACCCCTCCGACCAGCAATGCTGTGCTGTCTCCGGAAATAGAGTGCGTTCGATCCGTGCAGTGTCGCGAACCGCCGGCTCACACCGCGGTGCCATCAAACTACGGTTAAAAATAGAGTGAACGTTGCCGCCCTGCATTTCCCCCAGAAGGCACACTAAGCGCCTGATACGCTGAGGTTTCTTCGCTCCCCCGTTAATCTTGGTTTGATTGCCCACTGGCCCAACGCGAGTTGCATTCGAACGGATGCTAGTCGCGCTGCGCCAGCCGTGAGGCCCCTACGCTCAGTGCCGATACGTGTTGACCGCGTCCGCAGATCGAGCGATCGGGTGCGCGGGTGTGTGTGCAAATGACTAGTGGCCCAATCTAGGGGGCCCAACTCTGACACAATGTGGACCGGGAGATCAAAGTTATGGAGGTTTACGTTGTGCATTCTGTTCGCCGTGTCGGCGCTCGCGCTCGCGGCGAGAGGTAAGTGTGCGGGGGAGGGGGCGCGGCGCGCGTCACCGCGCCGTTGCTATTTTCGGGCGAAACTTGCGCTGAAATTATGTAAAAAGCGCGTCCGCACTCTATTTTCGTCTATAACCTTAGATGAAAATTTAGATGACAGAACAAATAAGTTGCCCAGATTAAACGCGCACCTTTGCAGCACGAAGGTCGCACCGTCAATTGGAGCTTAACGCGCACCGTCGTTCCCCGTTCTGCAAAGCTACGCAAATAGAAATACAGGGATTTGTCGTTATGCGTCGCCATCTTGTGAAAAACGATAGGATCGTGACGACATTATAAAAATGAGACACGGAAATAGGTCATATCAGATTCTTAGATATACATCCGATTTAAATGCATGCATAAATGAGAGTTCTTTTTTGAAATTTAAATGGTAGATTTTAGTAATACTTGTAATAAAAATCTTAAAAACATCTGTTTAAAAAATCAAATAATCCGTAGCACAGGTGGGAACTGTAAACTCTTTAACGATGATCTTGATTTTATGGTCGCGTTGAGGAGTTTAACGACACAACAAGGTTGCGTTCGAAGGATCATAAAAACAGATAAAGTCATATGAATAGCACCTTAGCAACCGGCCTTTCTCATTTAATGGAGTAAACACCATCAATCACGTTTTATTAGCATCACGTTGAAATGTAATAACAAAAATCATTCGTGATTAATTTTAAAACAAGAGTTACAATCAAATAGATGTTTTGTCAATGGTAAACAACTCAGATAGCTTGTGCCAGTGATCAAGTAAGGTCAAGTTTTTAGATCAGTTTCTTAGAGTAACGATAGTCTTCATATATTAAAAACAGCTTAAGCTTCAAAACAACCGTTAACAGCTTAAAAGTCTAGTTGGAGTGTGAAATTATTTTAAATGACATTAAATGACGGGCAGGCCCATTATTACATTACACTAACGATATTAACTGTATGTTTGAAAACTTTTTAAAGGAAATTTAGATTTTGATGTAATTTAGCAGATGGTTATAATGATTTAAAGCTTGCAAACATTAAGGGGCATGCTAATTAGAATAACTCTTATCTTATTATGCTTCAAAAGAGCTTTATAATAGCTTAAGAAAAGTTAGAGATCACTGTCTTCTAATTCTATTTCCAGCGCTAATAATACAGCAGCAAGGTCTGAGATGACGTTAATACTTTGTTTGCGTGACCTAGTGAGCTTAATAAACATGGCGTCCGCAACAACAGTGTCAAATAAAATTTCTTGACTATTGTTTAACAAAGATATGATAATATTTTTTTCATTGCTAGATGGTGAATCCTACAAAGCTTTATATGCGAGTTTATCGACACGAAAGTTGTTTGTTAAGATTACGATCTAATTGCTTGGCTTTGTAATATCATGGAAAGTGTAGGATTTTAAATTGACTGCTAAAAGATATAAAGTAAAATTTTCTGTCGCTAACAACGCACACTAAGAACGAAAAAAGTTTCGCTGCGTATGTACGATTAAGTTAGAAAATTAATGATATGGAAACATTACAAAAACTTGAACTTAATGCGATACCCAGATATCTATATATTGTATAACGTACTAATCTAAGAAATATCTCAGGACATTTTAAAGCCGTGATAGCTCATTCTTCGGGCACTCGCTTTTTAATTCAATATATACATATTCGACCAACCTGAATTCGATCCACGTTACCGGCACCAATTAAATTGTTAATTTTAAGTGCTAACTTTTCAAGTTCTCAGCGGTGAAGAAAACCTTGTGAGGAAATCTGCATATTTTCGTAATAATAACAAACAAATTTTCCGAAATTTTGTGAAATCCGCCAATCCTTAGTGGGATAGCGAGGTGGACTATGCTCTAATAGTGGGACGTGTATATAGGCTGTTATGTTTAATTTCACTTTATTATTTTACAGTTGTTGATTTTACATCGGAAAGTACTTTGGCAAAATTAGTTTATACCGTAGAACCGCAAAATACTTTAAAAATAATATTAAGTATTTTAATTTTTAAATCATATCTTTCACATTACACGAATTATGTTATGGGTAAAATAAATCAACAGTTTTAAATAATAAAAACCAAAAACTGAGGGTTGACCCCTGAAGAATGTATAGCTTATTCTTAAATATTTGTTTTAATTTAATTTTAACAGTAATTCGGGTAAAAGTGATCAGGAATTAAAACGTCTCTATTTCATCCTTAACAACGAATACCGCTAGACCTTTAAAAAAAATTTTACACGATAAAATATGTAATTATGTAGTAGTATGGCAGTTGGCACCTTAAAGTATATTTGTAAGTGGTAATACTGAAAATATCTTGGTTATAACTTTTAGTTACAGCATTTTAATAATTTTCTTTTAGCTATCGGAGTCTATAGATGATTAGTTCAAGAAAATTACATTTTCTTTTATGCGTTAAGTCTTGCTGAGAGTAATTTTTGCTTTCAGCTGACGACGATGGCGTACCTTTAGAGTCACAATGCCGTCCATACATCGAAAAGGCTCTTAAGGAGCTTGAATCTGGCGATGCGGATCCAGGTAAATTGGATGAGTTCCTAACCATAAGAAGGAAATTTTAATTTATTAGTACCAAATAAAGAGCATCACGAACGATTGAAACTTTGTTATGATGGTATTTGGAATCGAAGAATGGAAACAGGATTTTTAGGCTTTTTGCGCTATAAAAAGAAAGATATAGTTATTTTTGTTGAATATTAGCTGTTTTCGTAAAAATAACACAATACTTCTTATTTGTTTGTTACATATTGATTTACAGTGGTTTCATTTCATTTTGTCACATGAAAAAATATCTTACGAACGCAGAGCTTGTGACGTAGTCAGTAGCAGCGGTATAAATTATATAGTAATGCTACTACGTACGTATTGCTACGAGTCTATTTTACATTAAAGTTACTATAATGCCACTGGAAAATTATATATCATTCATTGAAAATAAACAACTTTGTATTTAACTACCTGACAGTTTAATCACTATTTACTGCAAAGAATAAAAATGTTTCCGGTGATACTGGTTTTATTTGTTCGTCGATAAAAGTAAATAAATATTTCGGCATCAGCAAAGCCATGTGCCATAATTAATAGCCATTACGATTGCCTAGTCTGTGACTGCGATGCCATATCTGTCACTGTGAGCCATCGTGTTGGCAATGGCAGTAGGTAGTCTAATTTTTCCAGTAGCGACAGCCACTGACACCGTTACTCATCAGGTACTTGGTGTGTTTCAGAGTCGGTTAAATTTAGGCGGATTAAATTGCCATCACCCTGTTGTTGTATGCTCTAACCTTTATGGTGTAACAGATAATATTGAAATTAGCTCACTGTTACAAAAATGCAGTCTATATGTTGTCTAGTTTTCACTATCGTTTCGGGTCCGAGTTGTATTTAAATACAAATTCTGAAAATCCTACATATAAATTATGAAAATTCTTTTAATCATTCAATGGCGATGTTTTAGTAATAAAATATAGTTGTCAAATGAAGTTGTCACAACTGTATGAATATGATAGAATGATTGAGGGATGTATAGGCATATGTTGAGAATCCAGTGCAGGAATAGAATTTTAATTAACTTGGCATTATTCATATCGATTCTCAGAGACCTTGGATTCTCACAGTAAAACGTAACATGTCGATGAAATCTATTTTCATCATTACGGCAAGCGTCAACGGAACGTTGCGTCAACAATCAAAATCTAGCGATAGATATCACCACCCTACAAATAAAATGGTCATCTTATAATTACATCATCGTGTCGTCATTATTTAGTTATGATTGTGGCCTTGGCAATAATATTTCAAGGCACATAGTCACATGTCTTTTAATTATCCAACTTATAGAAATAAATTGTATTGATAGTTTCTTACGTAACTAGTTATTATTTAGTGAAATTAATAATAATATAATATGTGATTCTTTTCATTGATAAAATGGTCAAAAGTTTTCAGCGATGCGATTCGAGGTCGATCGGTCGAGGAGTAGGTATCTACAAAATTCATATCTTAAGTTTCATCTGAGTATAGAGATTAGCACCAAAAATAAAAATACTCAAAAAATATTTACTTAATTATTAAACAATATTACATTTAGCAATACCGATATTTTTATTTTTTTTTCGGCGTAAGGATCTCAAATAAGATCGGCTACTTAGCTCAGTTGGCTAGAGCTTCTGGGTGCGATTCCCAGAAACGCAGGTTCAAATCCTGGCAGCGGCCAGTGCCTAAAATCTTACGGCACTATATTTATTAAACACACATTCAGCAATATCGTTCGTTAGCCTCATAGTTAGGTAGAGAAAATACATAGAATTAAAGTTACAAATTAATTGTAAAAAAAATGTATTTGTATTTTAATTCTAATTAATTTAATGCTAATTGTATTTAAGTCTTAACATTTTTTTACTATTACTATGCCCTAGCAGGGTCCATGATGATTCTTAATTTTAAATCTTTACCACCTAAGCTATATTGTGGAATGCAAATAAAGAATAAAGATAAAGATAAAGACAAATATGTAATTATGCTTTGATACGAAATCAGACTATGATCTGCGTTCAGGTAGATAGAATTAAGTGTATAAAGTGTTTTTTTAACCGAAATAAGGAGACTTTTTACCACAAAACTTTGTCATTTATGAGTAAATTCGTTGGTCCCGTATTAATTTCATTGGTATTGGACCTTGGGCTCCGGAGATACATCAGGGAACTCTTTAAAACGAAATAAAAAATGTATCGTGAAACATATTTTAGAAGTCGGTTTCTTTTTGCAATTAATTAACTGCGGTAGGACCACGCAGCAGCTTATATGCTGTTGTTCGAATGGGCAGGCTCGTCCGAGGAAGTACCACGGCCTCACAGAAATCCGGCGTGAATCAAAAGTATCACATACTTTTGCGTTTCGCGTGGTGAGCGAGGTAACCAGGGCTCAATTTTCTGCAATTCGTCTGGTGTTGTACATAGCCATGGGCGGTGGTAACCTGTTAATACCTATTCGTATTACTTTACTTCTATACTTTTAAACCACTATTCGTATTATATTTATCAATGGTAATGATTTGATTTTTGCAGATTCAACAAGTAAAAACGACTCCAGTGAAGTGAGCATAGACGATGGTACACAAGAAGTAAGCTCAACTGAAGAACCTGGAGATGAAAAAAGCCAAGAGGACAGCGATGAGAATGTTCCTATGATAGAAGTCGCAGATGAGCCATACGTGTCTCAAGTTTCTGACGAAGATGAAGGAGGTCCGCAGGATAACGACTCGAAAGAAGATGTGACGACCGAAGTTGATGATAATAACAGTGTTGGAGAAATGGACGATGGCAGTAAAGAAAGTGGAGACAGTAAAGAAGAAGCATCTGCTGATGAACAAAATGCCGAAATAGGTATGTTTAAAGTAGGGCATTATGTATAGACCATATTTGCAAGATGTATTAAAGATTTGTTTAGAATGATTTTTATTTTGTAGAAAGTGCCGAAAATGCAGTAGAATCTACTAATGATGATGAGAATGATGGTGATAGAAGCAACGAAGACAAAACAGAGGAATCAATGGAAATACCAGAAAATGATAGCAAGGAAGAGGTAGTAAATGCTGGAGAAACATCAGCTAGTATCGAAGCAGAGGAAGTAAGCAAAGAAGAGGAAGATGGGACTAAAGAAGATGACGAAACTGAAGAAAATAGGGATTCAACAGAACAAGAAGAAGAAACTGAAACAGATGAAAGCAAAGAAGAAACAAAGATAGATGAAGAAGTCGAAGAATCTCAAGAAAAGGCTGAATCTGAAGAAAAAGACGAGGAAAATAAGATGGAGGATGATTCGCAAGAGTTAAGAAATGATGAAGAATCTATGGAACAAGATAAAACCGAAATTGCATCTGAAGAAGAAAAAGAAGAATCAGAAGAAAAAGAAGAATCAGAAGAAAAGAAGGATTCTGTTGAAGAAGCACCTGGGGGAGGGATCGAGGAAGAACAGTCTCAAGAATCAGTTGAAGAGGGAGAATTGCATGATGATAAAAAGCAATCTCCTGAGGCCGATGAAGATAAGTCCAAGGAATCAGAATCGAAAGATACCGAAGATTCTGATAAATTAGGCGATTCTGAAGAGAAATTGGATGAATCAGAAACAGATACGTCAACTGAAGCCGATAAAGATAAACCTGTGGAAGTTGGTCTAGAAGGTGAAGAAGCAGAAGAAGAAGGCACGCCAGAAGAAGAATTACTTAAAGTGGGTAATTTAATAATGTTATTTTATTCTTCGAATAAAAAATGCTTACTAAAACACTTGTTACAGAATGTTAATGAATAAAAAATATCATCAATTAAATATATGAATGTAAATCAAACTAGACAAAGAAAGTGGCACAGAATTGGAAAATACAATCTTTTATTAAACATTTTTTATATAGATAAAATTGTTCAGTATGACTTAAGGATGTAAATTCTCATTAATTTTCAGTTTTATTTGTCAAATAAATAAAACGTATCTTATTTCTGTATTTACTTTCAGACTTTAGAAATCCCCGAAAATTTGAGATCTCGTGATCATATAATACAAATACTGAGATTAGATGAAGAAGCTAGCGAAGCAGAACTAATTATTGAAAAATCTGCAGATATTGTACTAAGAGACTTGAAGAGGCTTTACGAAAATTCTATTAAGCCATTGGAGGGACTTTATAAATATAGAGATTTAAGCAACAGACATTTTGGTGATCCAGAAATATTTTCAAAGCCGTTGGTATTGTTTATGGGGCCTTGGAGTGGAGGCAAATCGAGTATTTTGAACTATTTAACTGGCTTAGAATTTACGGAGTGGTCTTTAAGAACGGGTAAGTACATCCTGTATTAACTAGAAAATACCTAATTTTATGTTTTCAGTTACGCCAAACAAAATAAATTATTAAATTTTGGACTTGTTCCCAAAAAATGAATAAAAAAGTCTTTAATCTCACATTTTAGGTGCAGAGCCGTCACCAGCTTACTTCAATATTCTGATGCATGGTAAAGATCCTGAAGTACTTGATGGTACTCAGCTGGCTGCTGATTGGACGTTCTCGGGACTGCAAAAATTTGGTCAAGGATTAGAAGAGCGTCTTAGAGGTCTCAAGTATCCCAGTAAACTATTAGAAAAGGTATCCAATTACATGGATTATTAATAAAAAAAAAAATAATGGCTAATCACTTGATGATTCATTACTGCCGCTTATAAGTAATGGACAAAAAGGATTAAGAAAAACCTCGTCGGTATGTTGGAAAAACAAAAACTCTCTAAGTCGTATCCATTTGATTCACTTTTTTAAAGGTTGGCTCTTAGCAACACATCTACGACCCCTCAGGTGTTGTAGATGTCCATGGGTGGCGTGAATCACTTAACATAAGGTGAACCCTCTGCTCGCTTACCAACATTTCACAAAAATTTGTTCAAAGATGCTTCATCTCAGAAATGAGGAAGTAGTGAGAAGTTCTTGTATTTACGCGATTACACATTATTTAATTAAACTATATTTACGAATTTATCGCGTTTATTTTTAAATTTCATTTCCCGTTGTTTCAAAGTCAAACCCCTGCACATCGTGTGAAGGAACATATAGTTAACTTAAAACATAATAGATTAAACAAGTCTACAGTCTGTGGGCACAAATCGTCTTCGTCCCAACGATTGATAACACAGATCCTTGTAAAAGAACACCGATTACTCCCAAGGATGATCCGCGAGGCTATTAAATTACCATAAATTTCAATAGAAAACAATAGAACCACCACTGCAAGACAAGATAAAATTAGCTCATTCTGCGTAGATCGACACAAAACCAAAAATCTAAAGACTGAAGGTAGCCCGATAACCTAACTGAATTTCAGACGTGCCACGCCTTAATCTGTCCCGTGACCATGAACACTGAAAAGGGTTCGAAACGTCGTGAAATAAAATTTAAAAATAAACGCTATAATCCATGAATAAAGTTTTTTGTCTGAGAAGATGGCGAACGACCTGGCGTCTCACTGTTGTTAAGTGACTTACAAAACCCGTAGGGTTGCAGATGCATTACCTTTGAATATAATATGAGATAACTGAATAATGTAGGCCCTGGCTACATTACACACCAGACGAAAAGCAGATGTATAACACGTCCACTTCACGGTGTGAGATCGTGGTAATTAACCGGATGGACCAGCCCATTCGTGCACCAGCGAGTACTGTTGCGTGGCCCTATCATAGTTTAAGTTAATGCGGAAAGTACTGTTTCGCGTGAGGCCGAACCTGCGTTTTGCGAAGTTCCAGCCAATGAGACAGTAGGAAATACTTTCGCGTTGTACTGAGCACACCAACCTCTTCTCAAGTTGAAATGAATTCTCTTAATTATGCAAAAATCTACAGAAAACATAGTGCCTTAGAATATACCGCATTTTTCTCGAAATTAGGGAAATAAGAATTTTGTAAGTAGAACGGTATTTAATATAAATGGGTACTTATGAGGCTATGCTACTTCGCCGATTAACCTAACCAGGCATATATCAGCAAATGCTTTGTGTGGCTTTGTATAACGTGCATATTAATTAAGTATTAACTTTAAAAGTTCTTAATTTAAGTTTCAAATAAATATGAACTCGAACATTTCAGGTTAACATTGTTGAAATACCTGGAATTTTGGAAGTAAGGAAACAAGTTTCTCGCGTCTTTCCATTCAACGACGCCTGTCAATGGTTCATCGATCGTGCTGACATTATCTTCCTCGTCTACGATCCATCGAAGCTTGACGTCGGGCCTGAGACAGAAGCTATACTTGATCAGCTGAAGGGTAGAGAGTCACAGGTACAATAAATGTATTCATTCACTGTTATCAAAACTAAACTTTATATACCTCATTGGAATCCATGAAGGTCAGTGTGATTATTGACCGTGACAAGTTGATAACTGCACGATTAGCTTGACATTAACCATCATTGTCAACACCAAAAAGGATGTAATCACTATGTTTACAAACACCGTCAACATCTCTTGTATTAACTGATGTTTTTGCTTTCAGTAAAGACTATTACAGCTTCATCTGACACAGAACCGGGTGGCTTGTGTACGGGTTGTGTTGGTTTCGCCGTGCTCGGAGGCGAGTGCGATCTATTGTGTTTGTTGTTGCACTAGCTGTGGGTGGAGTGTTATCCGGCGGGAGGTACCGTCAACACCGTCAGGAAATGAAGATGTCATGAGTGTTAATTTTGTGTACTGTTTTCTTAGCTGAAATGTTAACCATTTAATTTAAAATTCATAATAGATATAGTTATGAGTTTATAACTTTTTCCGGAGTGCCTCAGGATGGAGGTCATCTATGTTTATTTTAATACCGTAAGGCAAGCCCACTTTTGTATATTAATTTATTAACTATTTTATCAAGTTTGAGTTGTTATTAAATCTCGACGTTTCAAATATTTTACAGCATGCAAGGCGTTTTCTTCACTGGCAGTTTTTCGTGATTCATACGCCAATAGCACAGTTGATTGTTATACAACATAGTTAAACCTGTTTAGTTAATATAATATTGACTGCATGACAACACAGTATCCATCCATGATCCAAATCAGGCTGAAATTTTTTAAGTCTGCATGTCAAAAGCAACCATTGAAAATCTAATTAAAGGGGACGAAATCCGTAAACATATCCTAATATTATCATGCTTAAATGTTAGGATTTAAGATTGATTTTCTCATTTTCTTAATTTAATATCATTACATTTGTTTAGTATTAATCTATCGACTTTTATGAAACTAATTATTTAAGTCCAATAAATGGTTTTTATCGTCTTAATTACATTTAACTTCACCTTTTAAACAGTATAGCAATAAAATCAGTGTCGAATTAACCAGCAGGCTAAGCAGGATAGAGTCTAGGGCGGCAAATTTAAGTGGGCGGTAAATTTGGCCTAAAATTCTTGTCTTACAGAAATGCTTAAAGTAATTTTTACAGTATTTTTAAGGCAAACCATACCCCGTCTTATAATTAGAACATTTTTTTTATGTGACAATGCGGCAAACGAGCTGGCGGTTCACCTGATGTTAAGCCCAATTTACAAAAGGTTGTCAACGCATCTGGAACGCTCGCGGGTGTACCAGTTGTCCATGGACGGCGGTATTCACTTAACATCAGGTGAACCGTTTGTTTGTATGGAAACTTTACACATAAAAAAAAGTAATAACCGCCGTCCATGGACATTTGCAACACCTGTAGGGTTTAAATGCGTTACCACTTTTAAAAAAAGTGGGTCCCGGTTACGTCACTCACCAGAAGATACACAGAATTAGAACATGATTGAGCTTTTTTTAGTTTAGAAATATACCCAAAGCTATTTTTCGTGTAAACTTTACTACATCGTGGGCTGTAAAAATAATATAGAAACTGACACAACGAAACCCCATTCCAAAATATTACTAATAAGAAGAAAAAAACCGATGTGTTGAAGACGATAGAGTACAATTTAGAAAATTGCAATTTTGTTACCAGAACAAATGTAATTAATCTTATCCTTTAAACGAGCAATTCTTATCTATATAATCTATTCTTATTTCTATATAATCGGAATCTCGGTAACGGCTCCAGCGATTTTCATGAAATTTAGTATGTGCGTAGATTCGGGGGCGAAAAATCGATCTAGCTAGGTTGCATTTTTAGAAAATGTCCTTTTATCCCTGTTTTCAGGGAATGAAAAATATCATTCGAATAGGACAGTAAATTTCGCCGCAAAAAAATGTTATAATGGCTCGGTCGGTAATCGGGCGGCCCCAAAAAAGACAGCCGCGGTTCGTATCACGGTCATTTACACACTTATTTTTTTAATTTTTTTTTCTATACCAAATCATTTTCTTTATTTTTTATTTTTTTTATTTCCAAAAAACATGATTTACCAAAAAAACCGATCAAAGCTCGGTCCTACAGGGACTATGATTAAGGTAGGGCGAACTAGGGTATAGAACTTCAGACGTTAGTCGGGGCGGCAAATTTGAAAACCGACACTGAATAAAATAATAAACCTTAAATTATGTAGGAAAATAATAAAATAATAAACCTATTAAATCAGCGACAAATATGTCGTATGCTAGCTGACTACCTATTGAATCATAAGTTTGGATCGTCTTCATTTTGCTCTAACTGATGTTTTTGCTTTCAATTCGTAGACAGCAAAACAATTTAGCTAGCCTGGACCCACTAGCTTGATACGGCTCTCGACGTTCGGGTAGGGCCGTAGCAGTTCATCGAGAAGTTCGGTAGGAACCGTAACTCCCGATGGCTGATGATTGTATTAATAGGAGGCTGGGAGCCGTTACAACCGCCTTGGAATACGGGTGTAACTAATACCTACGCGTTGTGTTGGTTTTGCCATACTCGTGGACGAGGACGAGCTAATTGGTCATGTGTGTGCATTACGTGTGGGTATATTATTTTGGACCGTGCGTTTATTTTGCGCGGCTTACGTCGAAACATCGAGCGTCGATTTGTCCGCAGACGCGCATCGTCCTCAACAAAGCGGACAGCGTGAAGCCGGAGGAGCTGATGCGGGTGCAGAGCGCGCTGATCTGGAACATATCGCCGCTGATGAGCTCCGCCCAGCCCCCCGTCATGTACACGGTGTCGCTGTGGTCGATGCCGTACGAGGCGAGCGCGCCCGCGCGCCTGCTGCAGGCCCAGGAGCGCGAGCTGCTGCGAGACCTGCGCCAGGCGATCGACAGGCGCATAGAGAACAAGATCGCCAGCGCCAGGAGATTCGCGGTGAGATATTAGCCCGAAGTCGCGATCAACCACGGAGGCAAATTGGGAATTTTCCTCCTAAATTTGGGAGGAAATGTTTACAATGGAAGTTTTTTAGGAGATGAATTCCAACCAGAACTTCCTAAATGTTTCACATTTAAGAAGTTTTGCTTTGAATTTAGTGATTTTGGTGAATTTCAGTGGTTTTTTTAAAGGTTGGTAACACTGCCACCAACCCTACGCTATAGCTCGGGCTAACTGAGACCTGGATTGTAGAAATGTAGTGGCAGGCCAGCAGTTTTTGCTTCGGGATGAATGGGTCGCACCACCGATTAGGTACCGCGCCCACACAGAACGCCTGCCTTCTGAATATAGTGAAGCATAAATTATTTATTTTAAATTTGGTATCTATTTTTTTTTTTGGTCGATTAAGTTAACGCACCTAGAACCGCACTGTTTGCTATGTCGGCGTAAATCTAATGTCAGTTTCAGATTCTAAACACACTGTCTGTATTTGTGTTATTTTCTTTTATTAAAGTGGTAAATGAACAGGTTCTCCGATAAAACTAAAAAGAATGTCATTAGCCTAATAAATGTAGTGAACAATAAATTATTTTTTTAAATGCGAAGGCGGATCACCCCATTTGTCTTTATCATCACCCAAGGATATTTATAACACCTGTGGGTTGCACATAAATATATTTTTGGCTACTATTCTAGAGGACTCAATGCGATACTTCGAAATCCACCTTAAATTTAAATGAATATTTTCTTTCATATTACATATAAAGAAAATTAATTAACGTAAATAAAATAATAAACATTTTAACAGGTCCGTGTGAGGAACCATGCGAAAATGGTCGATTGTTACTTAACCACTTACTACAATCACAAGACAATCTTTGGTAACAAGAAACTCATCGCCGACGCCATCATTGAGAACCCACAAAATTACCACATCTATGAGGGCTTGAGCACACTTACAAATATTTCAAGGTGAGATTTGCGTATATTTATATAACAATTATACAGGCACGTAAATTGGGCAATTATACAGCACGTAGAGTGATGAATATGAATGAAGTTGAAGGGTGTGAAGCTGCAGGAAGACCGAGAAAGATTTGGATGGACTAGGCTAGTATTAAGATGACGGCTGATTGAAGAAACTGGTAGGGAAGGACTAACTGCGCCGACCCCAACTAGTCTGGGACAAGGAAATAGTTGTACCGTTCTAAGATTATCAAATTACTTACTATTTTTTCAGGTACGACCTTCCCGATCCCGAAACCTATAGAGACTTCTTTAGGCTCAATCCCCTCTACGAGTTCCAACAGCTGTCTGCCACCTGCACCTATTTCCGCGGCTGCCCCATCACGCGACTCGACGTCGCCATCGCTTACGATCTGCCCGAGCTCGTGGGCAAATACAAGAAGATGGTGGAGACCGCCACGCCACAAGGCATGCCCAAGAGTTGAGAGATTACCCCGTACCACGTAACGCCTGCTTTTTATTGTAGCGAATTGGTATAGTCAATAATTTCGGGCACATTATGCATTTCTTTTCGAATTCGGCGCCAAATCATGATTTTTCATTTTATTTCGTTTAAAAATTGCATTTTGTATTCGTTCGTTATTATTTAATATCATTTGCTTAAACACTCGCTTGTTCCTGTTTCGTAGCGTGAATGATGTCGTGTCGAAAGCTGTTTTAAGGTATTATTTTTTCTTTCAAACTTTTATTATTCAGTATAGATGATATAAGACATTTTCCAATTTCCTATTTAACAACCAGTTCTTTCTGCTCCCACATTTTTTATTTTAATCTAGTCATTATGTTAAAGTTTGTTAGTGACAAAGTTGTTAATTTATTTATTAATTGAGGCGAGTTCCTGAAATTTTAGGTCTAAGTGCCATATGTATTAATGCGGTCTCTAACCACAGTTCATCCTAGAGACGCAATGTCGATATGTGACTACTAAGTTAAATAAAAAAAATTAAAATGTCTTGTTTTATTTTATTTTAACTATTAAATTTTGTTATACTAATATGCCTAACGCTTTAAACGGATTTTGGATTGAATGTAGGTATTGATAAACGCCACGATATTTAACGTTAACATGTATCAGATTGCTTTGAGTCAAGGTTCACAGTCATAGGTTTTGATCGACTTCGAATTAAGATGGAATGAACAGCAACACAAAGAAAACAATAAAAGTGAGCAAATGTACAAACATTTACTCACTTTTATTGCTACTCTTATTTTTTTATTTCTTTTTTATGTTAATAAAGATGTTACTTATGACATACCTAGTCATGTACTGGAGTAATATGACAGCGTCAAGTGCTTTCTTACAATTTTTTTAATCCCGTCTCTTAATAAGCAGCTAAACAGGAATAAAAATAAGAGAGAATGGACCAACCAATTAGAGTACCCAAAAGTCAATGAGTTTTGAATTGAGGAAAAAGGATATGCTCTTGAAGTTTTTGAAGTAGAACTTCTTTAGGTGCGACTAAAAGGCAACTGAATACTAAGGACGAAGACAATGTAACGGAAACTGCGATATTGCGATGACACGTTTATATACCATCCGATTTTTAAATATTTACGCTGAATGTATATATGTATGTAACTGAACTTTACTTTTAAAATAAAAAAATATTAATAACAATTATTATAATTAATACATTAATAATGAATTAAATTATTTAAACTAAAATGTTAATTATTGTTTTAAATATTTTTTAATATACATTTAATTTACTTTTGGCACGTTTGGAAAATTATGGAAGTACGATGCGTGTAGGGTTGCCATTTGCAAACTGTTTATGAGAAAAATAAAGTATTTTTCAAAATTTTACTTATTTCTCCTCTTCTCTTCAAGATATATTTTTATATGCTTCTAGCACACACTCACAGTTTTTCACTATACTAAATTTTTTGGAAGCTATCTTTACATTCCCAATTTAAATATAAATAAAAAAGTAACTTTTCATTGAAATGAAAATCTGGGAAAATACATAGTAGCACACACACACACATACTGATCCCGCAATAATTTTAGGTTTAAAAATATATCAAATGATATATTGACCAATTATTATACAGCATGTCGTTACCACCGCGACATTAAATGAACACACATATAGATGATAACTTTTTAAAATCGTATTAAACATGTACATTCTTTGAACATCAATATTCACCGAGTTATTAAATTTCCAAAACAAACTATTTTAGAACACCCTTACGTATAAAACTGTAACGTAAAGTTTATTTGTAAAGGTCACAAAGCATATAAATGGGTTGAATGAATTTAAAAGAGACAAAACATACTGTTAGAAGGAGAGGCTTGTAATGCGACGTTGTGGCAATGAATGAAAAAGTCTCTGTATGTATGAATCAGTCAGTTGTAGTTGTACAGGTGTTACAAATTTTGTTTCTTTTTTACTTAATTAGTTTGTTTGAAAAATGTTTTTTTTTAATTATGGATTTTGTTTAACGTATATATTTTTTATGATTATTGGCAAGTAGCGTTAGACGTTTGTTCATTTATTGTCGCGATGGTAACGACACGCTGTATGAGAAAAAAAAAAGAGTTAATATATTCTTGGCATAAAAGTGTCTTTGTTAACGACCAACTTCACGTTATAACCGTTGTAACCAAAAACAACTTTTTGACATTAAAATATGATTCCAAGTTATTTAATTAAACCGTTATCAATTGTATTTAATGTTTTTTTCACAAACAAAGAGTGGCATGTCCCCTGGAAAAGGGGATAAAATTTTCTGTTTTTTCTTTAGCGTATACGCAATACGAAATGCATATTTGTATGTCAATGTCCCGCGTATCAACCTATATTAAACAGACTGTAATTTTTATCGATTAAACATTTCTAAACTGCCAAGCCATTTCGTTTCGTTTATGTTTCACAAAGTTTTCCTACAAAATTAAATGTTTAGAAAAGTAGTTATTTCCACTATTTTGTAATACCACCTAAACATAATCAAAAATCTGTACAGATCAATTTTTTTTTGTTATTTTCCAAGGTTTACTTACTGATAGGTATACTTTTTACTCGCAAAAAATTTAAGGAAATAATAAAAATATATGGCGACATATACAGCGTGTCGTTACCATCGCGACAATAAATGAACATACATATAGAGGATAACTTTTAAAAATTGTATTAAACATTTACATTCTTCAAACATCAATATTTACCGTGTTATTAAATTTTCCAAAACAAACAATTTTAGAACATCCTTACGTATAAAACTGTAACGTAAAGTTCATTTGTAAAGGTCACAAAGCATATGAATGGGTTGAATGAATTTAAAAGAGACAAAACATACTGTTAGAAGGAGAGGCTTGTAATGCGACGCTGTGGCGCGAGTTGTATAGGATGTTACAAATTTTGATTCTTTTTTATTTAATTAGTTTGTTTTAAAAAAAATTAGTTTGTTTGAAAAACATATTTTTTTAATTATGGATTTTTTAACGTTATATATTTTTTATGATTATTGGCAAGTAGCGTTAGACGTGTGCTCATTTATTGTCGTGGTTGTAACGACACGCTGTATATTTGTCGTAGAGTTCATTTTGAGTTCAAATTCCAGAGCCAGCCAACATACTGAAGCAACGAGCTCGTTCCCCGGTGGCCAGCACCAATGAAATTTTTAACTATCACGGTTTATGAGATCATCATCATCATTTCAGCCGGTTTGAGTCCACTGCTGAACATAGGCCTCCCCCATAGACTGCCATGAAGTACGATCCTGAGCCACCTGCATCCATCGACTTCCCGCACATTTGCACAGTTCGTCACTCCATTTAGTGGTGGTCGTCCTACACTGCGATGGCCAGTACGAGGCTGCCACGGGAGAACCTTTCTTCCCCAACGGTTATCGGTTCTACGAGCTATATGGCCGGCCCATCGCCACTTCAGCTTGCTAATCCTCTGAGCTATATCGGTTATCTTGGTTCTATTGCGGATATCTTCGTTACGAACTCTATCACGCAGATAAATACCGAGCATAGCCCGCTCCATAGCTCGCTGAGCGACTTTGAGCTTCCTCATTGCAGTCCTCCGGCCAGCAGTGAAGGACCACGGCTCGGTTCCGTAGGTCATCACTGGCAACACACATTGATTGAAGACTTTAGTTTTCAAACATTGAAGTATATTCGACGAGAAGATTTGCCGAAGTTTCCCGAACGCTGCCCATCCGAGTTGGATTCGCCGATTGACCTCTGCGTCGAAGTTGGACTTACCTAGCCGTACTAACTCTCCTAGGTAAACTTACTCGTCAACAACTTCGAGCTCAGTGCTCCCAACAACAATTTAGGCCGGTATAGGCGTGACATGGACATTAGACATGATCTTCGTCTTGTCCATGTTCATCTTAAGGCCCACCCGTTGGGAGACACTGCTGAGGTCATTGAGCATAGCACCCAGGTCCTCCAGCGATTCTGCCATGATGACTATATCGTCGGCAAATTGAAGGTGGGTGATGTATTCGCCATTGATATTAATACCTCGTCCTTTCCAGTCCAGAAGCTTGAAGTCCAACGCAGCGGTGAAGAGTTTCGGGGATATGACATCACCCTGTCTTACACCCTTCTGCAGCTGGATAGGTTTTCTATTATTGGACTGTACTTAGACGGACATCGTAGCCTTGTTATACAAACACCTCAGCACCTCGATATACCGACAGTCAATTTGGCACCGCTGAAGAGCCTAGAGTACCGCCCACATTTCGAATGAATCGAAGGCTTTCTCATAGTCCACATACGCTAGGCACAAAGGCAGATTATACTCTTCGGTCTTCTGTATAATCTGCCGTAATGTGTGGATGTGGTCTATGGTACTGAAGCATTTTCGGAATCCGGCTTGTTCGGGAGGCTGGAAGTCGTCGAGGCTGGAAGCGAGACGATTCAAGATGACTCTTGAGAACAGCACATAGACGCGGCTCAGAAGGGATATCGGTCTATAGTTCTTCAAGAGAGCGTTATCGCCTTTCTTGAAGAACAGCACCACCACACATCTGCCCCACGCCTCTGGTGTAGTGCCACCCTGAAGGACGGAATTAAAGAGCCTCTGAAGGACTACAAGTACCGGCTCTCCACCCGCTTTCAGAAGCTCTGCTGTAATTCCGTCCTCTCCCGATGCTTTGCCATTCAAAAGATGGTCAAGAGCCATTCTAATCTCGCTCAGACTAACGTCCGGGATATTTTCGGAATAGTGTCGGATAAGCTTTGCTTTTGGGTCGTTACTCACACATGTGTGTGGCTCCAACGACGATGTGTACAGCTGTCCATAGAACCTGTCAATCTCACTCAAAACCTCTGGTCGACTGGAGATGATAGCCCCGTTGTCATTCTTCAACTTAGTCCGATAGACAGATCTCTGGCGAAGACTTTTGAGCCTAGGTTCCGCTCTGTAGCACCCTCAATACGAGCTGTATTGAAGTTGCG